AACTCCTCTTAGTTCCATTCGAATGATCGCTGCTGTTGCCTGGCATCTTACATACAAGCTTGCAGAGCAGACTCGCTGACCGGCTGACGTAACAACAAGTTAACAAGATAATGACAGTAGCGGCGGACGGCGGCTCACCGGACGAACCAGACCAGCCCATTCGGCCCAATCCCGCCCCCGTCGCATCCCGTCCAGCCAACATAGTCATCGTGGTCGTGGTCTTGGTCTTGGCCCCCCCCTCTTTCTGGACGATGTTCGCGTCCCGCTCTGTTATTTAGTCGAAGGTAGGTGTGGATCGGATCCGTATACCTTTGTGTTTGTGTGCACGAGTGAGTGACGTGCCGTGCCGTGCGCATAAGTGACTGATGGCCGGCGACGTCCAGGGCCCGGCCCCCGTTTCTTTATGCTGAAGCTCGGCTGTTCCCTCCCATCCCTCTCGCCTCAGCCGCGGCTGCTGTCAGCCAAAGACCATAATCAAGTATGCTAAAAAGACGCGCTAACCAAAAGGAAATTGAAATGAAATATAAAGAGTGTGTGTGTGTGTGTGAGAAGAGTTCTTGTGGGTCTGTGTTGGCCTGTGAGGTGTGGAGAGAGAGAGAGAGTGTGGTTGGGTGAACACTCATACATATGTATGTATGCGTGTCCGTATAGGTGACTGCTATATAGCTTGCTCTTTTGTGGTATTTCGCACCTGGAGCGGCGGCTGCTCGCTCACCTTGTTAAGCAGAGCGTCGTTAACACTTGAAGTCTTCTCTGCTGGTTCTCTGGTTCGGGTTCTTCTGCTGCTGCTCCTGGCACTGTTCCTGCTCCACCAACAAGCTCATTAGCCTCATAATTAGCTTTCGTTATGCTCTTCGTGTATTAATTAGAAGTTATTGCTGTGTCCAGGCGCCGGGCACGAAACCCACTCAACACTCGCCCCAGCCAACGAGTGGATGTGGGCTGTGGGTTGTGCGAGAGGGGATTCTGGGGAGTGGGGGCCACTGCCTCTTCACTGCCTCATTGCATTTTAAACCGCTCATCAAGCTATGTAGTTTTCCTCTCGTCAGCCTTTTTCCTGACTGTTTTTCTCGCTTTTGTTCTGGGGTTTTTTTTTGCTGCTGCTGCTGCTGCTGCTGCTGCTCCGGCTGCTACGGCTGCTTCTGGCCACGGCTAATGCAGAGATAATGATGCTGTGGCTTTGATCGATTTGATAACAATTTAATTTCGAGTGCACGCTCTTGGTTTTGCCCACATTATTGCATTTTCCACTAGAGTCTTGCGATGTGGTGTGCAGGGCACGTAGTCAGATTAGCCCATGGCTGGAGAGGGGACGAGGACGGGGACGATGAAGAGTGATTGCGTTCCCAAGTGCAATACACATTTGGTTAGACTAATGGTTCATGGTGACACCGCGCATAAGGAAGGGCCCCCATAAACATGGGAAGCTCAGAATAAAGCTGTCCTGCTCCCCGAAGAGAATTACAAGGTACAAGGTGTGTGCCCCAGCGAGGCACGTGAGTGTGGATTAAATGAGGTATTCGCTCCGCCAAATATGGAGTTCTACTCGTACGCTGCTCTTTGCTCCATTATACACACATTCGTCGTGGCTTTGATTTATCTTTATTTACGGTAATGGGAATAATAATGAATATAGCTTCTATTGCACATCTATGATTGCAAGAATGTTTTTTTTTATTTTCCTTTAATGCATCGTTCCTTAAAATATTGATGTAAAAGCCATAAATATGAACGTGGAGTGTACACTTTGTGTTAGTTGTAATGATCATGATAATCTCTTTGGGCTGATTTAAATATTATTTCTGCACCGCTGCCGGTTACATCCATTTCCTGACGGAGTTTCCTAGAACTTTCAATGCATAATAATCCATTGCGAAAGTTGGAACTTTTCTCTTATTCGAATCTCGGATAATAAACACAACAAGTCTGCAGTGCACGAGAGCTGGGGGCAAACAAACAATGGGCCGGAGGCATAACCGGCAAAAAATGCTGAGTAAACCTTATTAAAAAGGGATAACGGCGTACGAGCAACGCTAATGACAACGCTCGTGGGTGTGGACTTGGATGGCGGATGGGGGGGGTTGGCAGAATGGATGGGTGTGGACGGATTGCAAACACACACGTCACTCAGCCACGACATCCTTCCGGGAGCGACAAAGGGTCGCATCGGCAGGAATCGGGCCTGGTCCTCGTTCTCGTTCTCGTCCTCGTCCTTGTCCTGGGCTTAACGCTGTTAATGACCAAGGGCAACAGCGGCATCGCCCTCAACCACGGCCCAGACATTCCGCATCCTCCACGGCTTTATGTTATTACGTGTGCTCACGAGCAATTGAGGATGCAATGTCATACGTCAGCAGAAGGTGAGTCAAATCAGCGGCCAGGCCGTCGCAGGGTTAAACAGGAATAAAAACACAACTCAACAAAGTTTGGATCTGATTGAAAATCATTGTGCAATGTCATATAATGGCAGAGCTTAAAATCCATGACACAGAACAGAGGCGAACCGTGCCGGAGAGGATTGGTGTACAAAAAACTGCTGCATAATGTTTATTTGCCCGAGAAAAAGAAATTTATGTGTTCAGGTCTCCCATTGAGGACGGTCTGGTTGGGGTACTAAAAAACTTTTGCTCAAGAAATCTGCGTCGAAAGGGTTGGAAGGACATTGGTATTGGTGCCGGGCACCGGTTGCCACTCGGGCAGCTGGCAGCACCCTGCTGTGGATAAATCTGCGTAGCAAATGCAACTTAATTAAATTTCCAAATACTTTCTCCGCTCATGAGCTGCGATGCAAAATGCTGCTGTTAATTACAAAATTGTAAAACTCAAAGTTCAAATTGCAATTTGTATTCATTTGTAAGCCGCCAGAGCCATTAAATTTGTAAACCGCTGCCTCTGACGCCGCCAGACCCGCTGGCAAAATTATATATTAATGCGGGCAGGAAGGCGGGCGGTCGGTGGGGTGTCTGTCTGTCACGGCGGACACCTTTGCGGACGCAGCCTCCTCCTTCGGGCGCTGCCCCCTCCACAGAGCAGTCACCCACATAATTTAAATGCATTTCCTTTTGCGCATTAATTTCCTAAGCTTTTTTGCATACGAAAATCCCTCACAAAACTGCGTTCGATGTAATCCCATGAGCTTTAAAGTCACGTGTGCATGCCCCGCCCGAGGGCATGTCTGCTTGTGTGCGCTCTTGCCACAATCCAACTTTCATTTCTGGGGCAGGGGACAGCTGCAGGAGGCGAGGCACGCACAACAAAAGCATCGCCGTTGCTGGATTTGTTTTTGTATTCGCATGTAATAAATGTATTTGTTTATCCCCCTCTAATTTTCACAGCAAGCGAAAATATATCAAAAAAGGAAAAGAGCGGTATATAGAGATGGGGGAAATTGGAGTGCATGGACTGGACTCCCTTCTACTTTTGGCTTTTTTGTACACTTTTTGTGAAGTTTTTGCTACATTAATTGTCCTGCGATTCGCTTTAGGGGAGCCACGACTGCACAGAGTCCCTATTTTCAGTGGGCGCTCTGCATTTTTCATATAGGATGCATTGTGTATCGCAAACAATGACTTTCACTGGGCGCAGGATCAACAAAAAATTCGTGCAACAAATTGAAAGCTTATACAAACATATGTACATACTTATAAATTTGATTTCAATTTTAATTAAAGTCATATCAGCATCACCAAACAAAGTCAAAACGGTATTTTTAATGTTTGAAACTGTTTCATTTATGTGAAATTTTCATCACATACTTGTAAGTTTCTTAATTTAAATAAAAATATAAAATAAAAACAAAAAATTTGTTTTCGCCCAACGTGGGGCTCGAACCCACGACCCTGAGATTAAGAGTCTCATGCTCTACCGACTGAGCTAGCCGGGCTGTTGGCATTGCTTAACCAAAAGCTCAGCTAGACGTTTGCAAGTGGTCTTCTCTCTGTTTCCGCTACACATGTGCACAGTTGTTTATTTTTAGACCCCATAGAGGAATTTAGGCGGATTTGTGGATTGCAATCGGACTCGTAATTGCTTCTATAGACATTCATATGTTTGTGTGTTATGTGTGTTATTTTCGCCATCCATCTTGGATCCCAATGGATTTTAATATATACTTGGTAATATATACTTGGTAAGTGGCTTATATTAAATGGTTAACATTTAATTAGAATATAAATCTCTGAATTTCTATGTTCTTCTTTAGTATTTGGTATTTCCCTTTCCAAGCAATACTTGCAACTCATTCACAAAGAAATACAATTCGAAACGAGCTGGTTTCATTCATCAGCACATCACAAGCTCGACAGCCATGTCAGAAATATCATTACAATTCTGTTCCGTTTCTCAGGCTCCTCTAGAACGGCTCACACACACACAGAATTGTGATGGGGGGAAACATCATGCGTGGAAAATGGTTATTCATAATCATTTGTTACGCTTAATTGTTGTCTTTGCGGTTTACCTCTCGGCTGCTTTGTGTGCTGACCGCAAATTGTTTTTAAATTCATTTCCCAGACCCAGACAGTGGGGCGGCAAACACAAAAGCCGAATGGCTAGTCAAAGTCTGAGAATTTTTGATTATTGTCATTATTGGGGCAGAAGTAGAGTTTAAATCGTTTAGCGATATGTTTGCTGCTGAAATGTTTCCCACCAAGGCCGTGAAAAACGCGCCTCGGTGATTCCGTCTTTATGACTATTTGCTGTTTATTTTTGTTGAAATTTAAATCCGCGTGCGTTCGACTCGGTCTGATAATACGGTCTCGGTCTTGGCCTGGGTATCGCTCTGGTTTATTATCCTTTGCCGACACTTTTTTATGAGTTAAGCCAGACGCGGCTTATCTATGTGACAATGCGGTAGGCACCACCATGAAGAGCCGTCGAAATGGTTAAGGAGTGTGCGGCAGCGGCAGCAGCCTTTATTGCCAGGCCTACCAGGCACAGCCCACCAAACAACCGGCAGGCGCTTCATTCATAAATAAATTAAATAAAAATATTTTTTCAAGCCGCAAGCCATGCAACAATAACAAATAAGCGACGCGCGGAGCGAGAGGATAAAGAACGCAACCGACGGCAAGAAATCTGCATAATGAAGCGTAATACGCAAATGGTGTGGAGTTCTGATTGGGCTCGGATTCAGGCCCCGTATTGAGGAAGGCTGGGCTTCCGTGGCAACGCAGTGAGTGAGTCCTGACTGAGGACATGAGTGCAGAGTTTAATAGGGCTGAAGTGACGTGCGTTTCATTCATTGCAGATTCTCAATTGGGGTATGCAAAGTAAAAGCCATCATTACTCAGGCCAAAAGGAACTGAAAACTCGAGAGATTCGTTTAATAAAGAGACAAAAGACGAAAATATGGCAGATTATATAGGTACAGTATCAACCAATTATTCCTTCCCCATTTATTCTTTCAAGAAAATATTCACTTCTTTATTACCTTAATGCTCGTTCCAATCAATTATTATGCCTTTGTGGACCATAAAAAATACAGTCGATTCAGAAAACAAACTGTATAATTCCTTTTATAGATCCGCAACAAGCGCATATTTCAATAGTGGCTTCCCCATTGGCTTCCTAAGACCCTTACTCCGTTACTCCCCTTGAAGTTATTAAAAGATTTGTGGCGCTCAGTTCAGCGGTCAATGGGAGCCACCCCATATGAATGAATCGAAATTTCCGCATTGCCACCACTTTCAAATCCATTCCCGATATTGGGCAGCCGGATTCGGCACGCCTCTTTGGCAGCATTTTGTTTGGGGCGTGTTAAAAGTTAAAATAAATCAAACAGCCATAAATTTGCCGCTTTCGGCAATATGTATGTGGGGAATTCGATACGTTCATCAAATGTGAAAGGGTTCAGGCGATGCGTTTGCTATCTATCAATAAATGTCTCTATATGCGGGCCAGCCGCCACACACATACATATATTTTATCGGCGAAAGGACAGCAGCAGCAACATAGCAGAACCCATAGCAGACGACGATACGCATCCCTTGGCCCGCCCCATCCCCATCCCCGTCTCCGTGTATATGTATGTCTGTCTGTCTGGAATGTCGGCTCCCTCACACACTCGTTTAGCACACTTGTCGGCCATAGAAATCACCCAAAGTGGGGCTTATGAAAAATATGGCGCAAAGGGGTTAAATGACGTATGCATTGCTGCCATTTCTCTTCTCTTGCCGAAGAGCTGCTGGCTGCTGCCTGCTGGCTTCTGGCTGCTGGCTCTTCATTTGCCTGCCGATGTCTTAGTTACCCAAACCGGAAGCTCCAAATTTATCATAGCCCCAACAGGCTGTCTGAGGGAGTTGTGCTGTTTGCTTTTTATGAGTGGCCAGAAGGACACACAGAAAAAAAAAGTGATCAATCGCCCCCCCTGAAGTAGAAGTAGAGGCAGAGGTTGAGAATAAATGTAGAGCCATTTGCAGTTTTAGGTAAGGGAAATTCTGATCTTCCCCAAAGTGGAATGGAATGATGAGGCAAATGGACAGGAAACTAAGCTGGAAAATGGAGTTTGGCTTACCTCCCAAGTCTGAGGCCTCATATCCATAGTTTGTTCTGATTAATGCCAGCAATTGGTGCAGATATTTCATTTGAATTATACATAAGCAAAGAGGCTGAGTAAATAGGAAAACGCCCTTTACGAGGGGCCAAGCATCCCCAGGAGAGGTCATACCATACGCCGAGCCACTCCAATAAAATGTATTGTACGATTGTCTGATTAACAGAGCCACCGCAAAACAATTTAATACTAAAACCCAAACCACATGCCCCGGCACGCGTTCCAGTTCTTCTTTTTTTTTCCCCCCGTTCCCAGACAGGGAGTTGGGTGAGCGCGACCCACCAACCACATGCCTGATAAATGCACAAAATCTGCAACAAACTGTTGAGAACACGCGCTATCCGACAGATCGCGCTGGGGTTAGGGGTAGATACAGTGTCAAGGGTATAGAATTACAATTCGGAACCGAAACCGAAACCGAGAACCGACTGCGTGATTCGCCCTTTTGACAAATCGCCTGCTCGAGTCGAGTTGCCACAGCCGAAGATTCCCATTCGAGTCCCGATCCATAGATTAGCATTGTTCTGGGGCGCTGCCCACAAATTTGTGCATTTCTTTTGCCAGGTGACAGTCGGGCAAGGGCACCGCCCCACCCCCTTCCAATCCAGTCAAGCCAAAACCTCAATGATAATAATGGAGAGGAGGCATAAATCTACCCGGAAAACAATGCGGGGAGAAAGGATAATTTCGAAAAACCATTAATGGGCCGCGCACATTAACATTCTGTTGTGACAGGCGGCAGGCAAATGAGCCAGGCAGCAGGACACATGGCTGGAATCGGTTGGGCGGGTGTGGCGGCACAGGAAACGCAAGCTGCAGCCAAAGGACTCCAATCGACTCGACTGCCGGTCCTGTCACGGCCCCGTTGTCCTTGCATGCCTGTCGTTGGTCTGTCATTTACTTGGATTGAATGTCATAGATCGATTCTGAATTCCGGGAAATCGCTGACGCTGACGCTGTCCTGCCTGCATGCATAAATCATGCTTTGGGGTTAAGCACTGACAACAGTGACCCTCGGAAGGGGTTTGTTATTTCTACATTCCAATGCGATAACTGTCGTATGCTGGAGAGTGTAGAAAGTGGAAACAAAATTCCTAGAATGCACCCTTGAGAAAATGTCACAAAAAATTACGCCCATCCCTGTGTTCGGTATGTTTTCCATACTTAATTGCATGACAAGGGCTTAGCAACCAAAGACATAGCGTCTAATCAAATCAGAGACCAGGACCAGCATCGGCAGAGCTTAATCGCTTGATAGGCTTACCGCCTGCCATCAGGCAAATGCGCAGCGCGCCTCCACGAAAATCGTTGACATCAAAGGCATTTCCGTTTCCCCAGTTAATAAATGGCCAGCAGGCGAGCAATCGGAATTGTTATTTATGGCATTATGCCAATAAGACGGCGGCTAATTTAGTAGCCGCGTGCCCCAAAATAGAAATAACCCACGGAAGAACACTCTTTATAGAGACACAGATATGCGACTGTGAAATGCGTTTCATTTTTAATCCAATTTGCATATAAAACGACACAAAGCCCGCTAAATGCAACCCTTAATAAGTCACCAAGGGACTCATGGGCGGCGGTCGCTTTCCGAGCACTTGAAAATATTGTGTAAATCCCATCGCAACCCACCACCACCACACCGCACCACGCCACACCACACCGCCGCCAGGAGTCGGCCCGTTCCACCACTTTACAATTGTCAGTCAAGGTTGGGTTTTTATTTTATTTCTCTGCTGTGTTCTGCTGCTCCCCGCGCTGCCTGCTGCCTCCGCCCCGCCATTGTCAACTATAAATATGTCGAAAGTTTCTGGTTACCATGGCCCATTGGTTCAAATTCCACCCCAGAGAAGCAGCCCGAGCTCTGTTCTTCCAAATTTTTAAGTATTGTCAATATTAGTAAATATTAAAAAGTGCACAGGCAAAGGAAATTACCCCTGGGGGTTGTTTCCCCACCCCCATCCCCGCCCAACGAAATTGTAAATTTCTGTAAGCCGCAAGTATTACAGGCCCGGACATTACCCTTCTCCGATCGCAGCAACTGCCAATTTTTCACTTTCCTGTGCAATTTGTGTAATTTTTTATTAAAGACATTAGTCAAATAAGTGCGTATACGCGGGACGGTGATCTGGTTCTCACATGACGCCGCCGGGCATTAATCTGAAATGGCAAACGCCCTCGCCAGGGCAACCAGAGCTGAGCTTCCACAGCATCCAACCGACCCACCCACCAACCCACCAACCCACCGAGCCATTCATTTTGGGCGACGACCCACCGTGTGCGTCATTTGTTACATTTATTACATATTTTACTTTTTTATTCGACGCTGTTTTCGATCTAAACGGATTTGGTTACCCGGCGCCCACACCCCACACCCATCCCACACACTCGCCTATGGCCTCGGAGAAAATTAAACTTTTCGCTTCGCTTTTGTACGGAATGGAAAAACATTTGATGCACTTATGACGCCGCCCGTTCAGCCACCCCCTGAAACCACCACTACCCGACCCCCACCCCCAGTTTTGTTTGGCATTGACTCCCGCCAGCTCGGACCGAGCCCAGTTTTTATTGGCTTCATTTTTAGTTACTCAGCTGTTTCAGTTTTTCCTTTGTCAGGATTTCTTCCTTTTTTTTTTTTTTGTGTTTGATGAGAAGAAGGGTGTTTTGTCGGGCAGTTGCAGCAGCAAATGTTGCAGGGGTTAATGTTAGTGTAGCGTTGCGTTGCGTTGCCCTTCTCCCCCGATTCGGGTGTGTGTATGTGGGTTCTGGTTCTGGTTCTGTTATTGTTGTCACGATTTTCGCATATTTCATAAATTCGCGCATATTGCTAATTTGTGCTCTAAATTTGTGCAAATGCGGAAATATTTGGTTAGGGCTTTTGGCTGGGATTCTCACTCTGCCATTATTAAATTTATTGGTTCCTATTTATCAAATTGGATTTTCAAATGGGATTTTGGCAAGGGTTGAGCTTGCCAGGGCGAGTGTGGTGTATGCGCTTGTGGTTTAAAAGATTGAAAGTTGGGCAAACAGAAACTGAAATTGAACTTATTTGACAGCTGCGGATAGTTAGTTGAGCTTAATTCGATTTATGATACTCTCTGATTCCAGCCATGGGAACTGCACTCTCCCTCGTATTTACTTGGATCCAACACTGATGATTATTCCTCTCTGGCCCAATTGACCAAAGGATTCGAGTCACTCTTGATAGCTCTGTGTCATGGGATAGTTGACAGACAGTCGAGAGCAGTGTGTGGCCTGCGAGTGTGACTGTTTCCTTGATTATGGGGCACACGGGGAGCGTGTGATTAGCTCAATTGAACAGTTGCACGTATCACGTTTATTGGTTCTCTGCCACTCGCTTCGAGTGCTCCAAAAAATAATGACATAACTATAGTTATATATACATAAATCAACAAATGCCCTGTCCCACTGTGTGTTTACCTTCGGCTCTGGCTTCCAGTTGGACTATTAAACTAATTTCCAGTTGTCATTGACGAGCACGCACGCGGCAGCTCCTGCTCTTGACTACGACGAGTATCTCCCCGTCTCGGTCCCTGTCCCTGTCCCTGGCCAGAGCAGTCCACTTAAATTTCCCAGTTCCATTCTGAGTCCAGTCAAACACAGCACGCACAGAAAGCTGAAGCTCTGACTCCCAGTAAACTTCCATCTGCCCCGTAGCCACAAACTAAACCTGCAGTCGGATATGTCCCCCTTCTCTGCGAATCCCTGCACTAGGTCTCTGCATCCGGCTTCCTCTGCACTGTGGATGGCTCGACCTCCATGCAAATGAGTCCGACTCTTCTGCAGGATAT